CGGAGGCTTGGATGGAACAAATCTTGTTTTTAATCAAGCTTTCGAGCTTGCGCTCTTCTTCAGGATCTACATAAAAACATCCATAAAACAGTACAAAATAGACTAGAATAGAATATATAAACTATTCATTAAAAATTACGTTAAAAATAGTCCTATATAAATATATAACTATTTGACATTGATTTGACAATATGGTTAAAATACTTTTAAATTGGTCTACTGTGTACGGTCATTCACGTCACATTTCCAACTCTTGAGACGAGGTGTTACAGCAAACCTGCTCCATAGTTACCAACCTGATTGATTTTAAATGCGCGATTGACTACACCAGTTGGCTGGCAGAGTGTGGGTGGGGTGGGATAGGGTGGGGAGGGGGTGGCCCCTGACGCTCCGATGCTTTTTTTTTTTTTAAACGATTTCTGGGATTGTTTGTTGACGGTGCCAGGTACATAAGCAAAAATATTTTTTTATAAAGCCACGTACAATTTGAGTTTCAATGTATGCCTAACTTGAGCACCTGAACTATAAATGTAGACTTGGCCTACACAAACATTTCATTACCGATAAATTTTAGTAACGCGTCAGTGAAATAAGTATTTACGTAAATACTGTACTCTCTAATGACTCAGTTTACTACATTACTGTTTTTATATTTTTAATAAAACTAATTTCTTCTACATTTTCCCCTCAATTAGTGATAATCCGTTATCTCGCATAGACTTTTGCTAAATGCGTTACAAATTATGGATCACGCATGTGTTCTGCAAAATGCGGGTTTTCATAAAAAATTAGGCCTAGGCCTACTTTGAAATGCGGGACCGTCCCACACGATGCGAGACGGTCGTAACTATGCTCATGACTGACGCTGTGGTACCGTAGTTGATCTATAGCCCTACTATTATTCGACCCCAGTTATTTCTACCCCTCTTGTTATACTCACCACTTTTGGCATTTGGAGTTCTTGGAGGAGAGTTTTCCCAACCAGAACTAGCACCAGAAAGCATTTAAAGTTTTTATTTATTATTTTTTTAAGGCATTTGTTTTAGGTTTAGGTTTATTAACCCAGAAACCAAATGCCATTGTAGTAGCCATATTATAGATATTCTACATGTTTATCATCAGTTAATAAAAACCTAGAGCAAACTTACGAAAGGTCATATAATATTAATAATTAACTGTCAGTTCTTCCCGCTTGGCCTGTTTTCTTAATATCCTCTCGTCCGTACTAAAAAACGTTTCTCTGAATTAAAACACACGCAACGACTGAGTGTCACTGCATAAGAGAGCTAATTTGTTTCCTTTCAATTTTCGTTTACGGCTTGGGTGTACAATCCCGTTTCATCACCATATTTTTGAAATATGAATCTCAAAGGTGATGTGGATGTCAGGAATTAATTGCAGGGATATTGAAACATATCTTTTGTAAGTGATGATTTATTCACCGATACGAAATATCAAATGGATTTTGATACCCATAACATTTAGCCTCTAGCAGAAATAATTATATTCGCGTGAATAAAGATGTAACATGGTTGCCAAGAGGTAACTTCCAGAAGGCAGAATACTAAATTGTAATATTCATGGCGTCAGTATCATAGGCGTAGATCCCGGGGGATGGGGATATATCCCCCCCAATATTTGACAAGGGGGGATGGTCCATTGTATCATCCTCCCCCCCCCACCCAATATTTTGACTATGTATGGGATAAAATGGAGCTTTACACACTTCAAAAGACTGTCACAGAAATAATTTGCACTGTCTTATGCGCTTACAAAGATAAAATTAGCATAATGTATTAATGTTGATAACAAAATTATTTTATCTGGTACCAATCTAAGCTCTTCTTTCCTTAGATGTTAGATGTGCTTGCAAAGAGAGCCACGTTTCACACTGAAGGGTATGTACGATATCAGTGATGTTATGTCAATTCCAAGGTTATATCGGTTGATGAGGAATTTATTGATTAGGCCTATAATAGTAAATTGCATCAATTTATTTTGCAAAAACAAGGTTTCCAGCTTCAGAGGGGGTCACATCCCCTGTCGACCCGCACAAGGGCACACATTGGCGCTAACACCAGGCGCGTAACAGGGGTCTTGGGTCAGAGTGGGTATTTATTTTTTTTAATTTTTTAATTTTGTATTTCAACCATCTTTAAAGAGGGTAACCCTTCTAGTTTAGCCCAGTAGGTTAACTGATATTCAGGGGCCCTCTTTAATAAAATTAAAGAACAGTACAAACAACATCATTACAACATAATAATAATA